GAGGGAGAGGGAAAGGGAGAGGGATGGAGGGAGGGAGAGGGAGAGGGAGAGGGAAGGAGAGGGAGAGGGAAAGGGAGAGGGATGGAGGGAGGGAGAGGGAGAGGAGAGGGAGAGGGAGGGAGAGGGAAAGGGAAAGGGAAAGGGAAAGGGAAAGGGAGAGGGAGGGAGGGAGGGAGGGAGGGAGGGAGAGGGAGAGATATTTACAGCATATATAGGTTTGTTGAATAAACTACAACAAAGTGAATTTTTCACTCAAGCAAAGCTGAGGTAATGATATGTGGGAAAAACCTTGAGCGCCTGGGCAAAGAGATACTGCAAGGGAACAGTCAAATATGGGTTAGTATAAACCTGGTGGATGGATCATGAGGATCAGAAAAGATCTTCTTAGTTTTTGAAACTCTAACAGACAGGAGGGGGAGGACTATAATTTCAAACTTGCAAGATTCTGTCAGTGAAGTAGAATTAGCTCATCTGGTTGTGATTCCTATCTGGTTTATTCCAAGAGGCCAAATAGCCATAAATTATACATGGCAGATCACCAAGGTGAACACATATTATGAGGTAAGCCATGCCATTGTTTAATGGATTTTGGCTTAGTTTGAATAAAGCAAGTTTGAAGGCATAAAAAAAAAAATGAGCTGCTTCAGAATAGTTCTGAAAAATGTAGTGGTTTGGTTCACACATATGTGTGATTTATTTAACCATGGTCTTAAAAGTAACCTTCTTAGAGTGGATTAGTGTAGTACACTATGTCACATGTCACCATTAATCCACCCCAATATCTGAATTCATGTAATATGCAGTGAGATACAGTCAAACAAATCACATTGCCATGTATCACAAGATTGAAGCCACTCTATGTATATTTGTTCATTTCTGTGATTTTGCTTCTTGGAAATCCCTAACCCCCAAACATTTTGAAATAAAAAAAGTGGTTCTTAAAATATTCATGTTCATAAAGCAAATCACTGAACATTCTCATTTTTTGTTTCAATCTGCACAATGCAAATCAGTCACAAAAATGGAATTTTCTCTATGATGCATCTGGATGGTCTTGACAGTTTTCACATTTTTCTTCTTCTTTTTTTTTTTTTTTTTAACATTTATAGTCTATTTCTTTCCCAGCCAGCAAATTTCATTTCTCATTTTCTCATCAGCCAATGTCAGGATACAGGCAAATCCAAAAGTGATTTCTATTTATATTTTCAAGAACTTAATATTCTGTATCCTATTTGATCACATGACTGGGAAGTAGAATGAGCAAACAAGATGCGAAGTCAGGATGGAAACTCATATCGTTATGGCAGTTACATAAAGAGTTTCACTTCACCTTTTCTTCAATGATTAATACATCTGCAAGACAAAAGAGTAGAACAATTCTTCTGTTTCTTAGCAAAGTTTGGTCTAATAATTAAGGCATCAGGCTGGAAACTAGGAGAATGTGAGTTATAGTTCTGCCTTAGGCACGAAAGCCAGATGATTGACTTACAACCAGTTACTTTCTGTCAGCCCAACTCACCTCACAGGTTTGTGGTTATACGAAAAATAAAAGGAGCAAGTATTGTGTGTGTTTGCCACCTTGACTTATCTGTAAAAATAATAAAGATAGAATTTTAAAAAACATCTAAAAATAAATAAAAGTATTTCACGAACATCGTTACTATTCTACTCTTTCCAGGAATTGACATAATACACTCATTTAGCATCTGAGCATAATGGTCTTTTCCCAAATCTAATAGCTAACATTGTGCATTATTTCAAAATGTGGTAAGCACTAGTCCTGCCATGTTGGGCTCTTCTCTTGATTTTTGTCCCAAAGTCTATCACTATAGCTTTCTGGAAATATTTTTCAAACATGGATTGTTGACAATCTCAACCAACTTTCTGTTGAACACTAAATATAGGAGATACAACTTGATAATGCTGCTTCTTCTACAGTATGGACTTGTACCATTGAGATGCAGTTGACAGTTTGTAGTAGAACTGGCCCAACTACTGGGCAGGTTGGTAGTGTGTCTCAAATACTAGAATAGATGATGAGATACCACTGAAAATGAATCAACAGGGCATTGATTTATTCTGTTTTATCATGATAAGGAGTTTGAGAACCACCAGAAACTTAGAGAGAAGTCTAAGGTCATCTCTGCTTTGCAGTTACTTATATGATTTAGTTCATAGATTCATGATTTTGACTTAATTGTTACTCTGTTTTTTCTTGAGATATTACACAATCACAATACTGTTTGGTGCCATTTTTCATATCCTATTTTGTCTGTTGTGTACAACAGCCTTGTGGTGCTACAGTCCCCCCCCCCCCCGTCTGCAATATTCCAGTTATAAGATGGATCACTTGTGATGTTTTACTCACAGTGATATCAAGATATACACAGTCATGACACCTATCAATCTATCTAAAACACCAAAACTCTCTTTTACCTGATGGCAACAACAAAGTGAGAAATCTTTTTGAAAAGGGGTAGAAGAAAAATGTAAGATTCTTTCTCCAGGAGAAAATAAACCCAAAACTTTAAGGAAACTGGAAGACTTTAGGAAAGCATTATTTAAGGAACAATGTCATATTTGGACGATAGTCATTATAGATGGAGGTGCTATTGCTTCAGAGAAGGATAACATATCTCTCCCCCTCCCTCCCTCCCTCCCTCCCTCCCTCCCTCCGTCCCTCTTCCTATGTGTGTGTTTCTATGTGTATATGTTTGTGGGTGTAATGATCTTCCAAATCAAAAGATTAAGTTTGAGTAAGACCAAATCAAAAGATTAAGTTTGAGTAAAAAAAGAGCCGAGGCATCCTTTTTTCTAGAAATGAAACTCTAAAACCTTGATTACATGTGATCTTATCTTCTTTTTAATATTCATATAGATCAGAAGAATAAGTTCTATGATAGACATCCATGAATCTACGCCCATCTGCAATATGTCTGATTTGGAAAATAACATATTTACAGATAATTCTAAAATGCAGCAAATGAGAGAAGATTGAGAAATGATTTATACAGATATATAACATACATCATTTGTGTACAATCAAGCTTTAGAATTATAAGTAGTTTTGAAAAAAATGTAATGTTCTGCTATAATAATTTGGGGATAGGAAGTAGGATTTATTTACAAAACATTACAATCTGAGAATACAGAGACTTATGTTCTCTGTGGAGAAAATTTTGATTTTTTGAGAAGGCTTATTTCCCCCCTCAAATGAACTATTGTATACCTTTAGTCTTTTGTTTATGATGTTTCTTCCATTGTTGTAACTTTATGACTGAAAGTGGAGCATTAAATCTTTCCAATATTTGAGCTTTTCCCTATGTGTCATTTGTCAGTTGTACTAGTCTGCAAACTCAAAATCTTACCCAAAGCTGTCTTGTGCTCTCGAAGCCAGATTTGATATTTCTAGTCAATGCAATTTCTAAAAGAACTAGTATTGGGAACAAGTGATTCATATAGAACGGGAGTTTTTCAATAATCCTAGCTTGATAAGTGGAAATGACCATTGCCTTGTGGTTGAAGATTGAAGGCTCAGCATTGGCTTTTTTTTCAATGTCCCTTTGTCTCTGCTTCCAGAAGGAAGGAAAATAATATTTCCTACTAGTCTTTCAATTAATGAGTTCTATTGCTGAGAGGCAAAAAAAGAAGCAAATAAAAATAGGAATGAAAATAACCTCTGTATTTTTATGTAAATAACAGCCAGAAGCATGCCTCATCAGTGGCAGGTGTTGTTGTTTTGGTTGTTATTGTTGTTGTGGAATTCTAACTATTCCTTTCCTGCCTCTCTGCAAAACTAATATTTTCATATCAAGAAAAACTCTTTCATCTATGAAGGTTCCTTTTAAACTTAAATAGCAGCTTTGGAAAAGCAACTGTTAAAAAGTTCATGGTGTGTACCTTTCCCATTCCTCCATTACCCTGGATGCTATTGCTCAGGTTTTCACATAGTAATCCCCATAACAAAATAAAATAAAAATAAAATGTACATGAAGGACATTACTACACTTAATCTCATGTTGAATTACTTGAGAAATTGCTTTTGTGTGGTCCTAAGAGATCTATGTCTAGGCCCATCATAGCATGGAAAGTGCAAGAATGTGATTATTTTTCTATTAGAAGCAATCTTGTTAATAGTATTAAAATGAAGCATCCTTCTTTCTTTTTTTCAACACAAATGATGCATATTCTAGTGTATTATTAGTCAAATGTACCATTCAGTATAGAAACCCAAGCTTAAGCCAGATTGTTTTATTTGTTGTTTTTTATTCATTAATTTTAAAATGGAAAAGAGAAAAAAAAGACAAAAATTAAAAATTACAAATACAAATAGTATATGGAAAAGTTTGTAGAATAATACAAGATAAAATTAAAAAGAAATATAAATCATTCTACATACAATAACACCTCACTTTTGTTCTTATATATAAACTTGTACTGAACAAATATAAAGATAGCTTTATGGAAGTTTAACATTTTAGCACTTTCACTCTACTTTTTGGGGAAATGGATCGAACTGGGTAGTCATTTGGACTCCCCCCACTTGCAACATGCAACATGCAAAGTCCAGAGTTGTATAGAGGAAGGGAGGGAGGGAGGGAGACAAGGAGAGGGAGGAAGGGGGAAATAATCAGCCTGCTTGTTTCTCAGCTTTGTGAAAAAGCTAAATAATTGTCAACATTTTATGTCTGCAATTTTTTTTAATTAGGCCTCCTGAATGTCAACATTCGTGAAGCATTCTGTGCTTGTTTTCAAGTTGCCATCTTAATTCACTCTTCAACTTTAGAAGAAGATACTTTGCTTTTTCTGTAGCCATGACATGGTTCTCCTGCTTAAGATCTGCAAACACCTTTCTGCAGTTCTCCTGCTTTTTGCTTTTTAGGAAAATGTCATCTAGTTGAATTGAGTTGACCAGTGGGGAATAGAAAGAAGGGTTGGGTTTCTTCAGGTTCTGTGAACATATTCCCATCAATAAGTGAGACCTAAAGAATCTCCTGGTTCAATCTCTGATGATGGGTGATGAAAACTGTTGCCAAACACCTATGATATTGACATCTGCAATATTGATTGTCCAGCATCTCATGGGGAGAAAGAAGTTGTGGTATCAGTTTCTGTGGGAACAGAACTTCTACTGTTCTTCTGGTTTGTTGACCATTGCCAGAGCCGCTTTTGACTGATGCAACCCAGATCTTTAAGAAGTCGGAGGACATCATTGCGGAACCTAACCCCCATAAAAGCATACAGGAATGGATTGAGACAGCAGCGGAAGCAAGCCAAGCTGTAAGTCACATCATTAGCCACATCTAGGTGCTTGATGGCATTGCATTGGCCAATGGTTAGGTTGTATTTTGAAATGGTCCTGAGGATTATTATGCAATTGTAGGGGAACTGAAGGAGAACAAAAGCTATCATGATGACAACAAGGATCTTGATTACATGTTTTTTTTCAAAGCTGTGGGGTTGCAGTAAATTTCTGATGATGACACAATAGCAGAAAGTCATTACAATTAGAGGTAAGCAAAACCCAAAGACTAGCTGAGATACTCTCATAATTAAGGCTATATGATCACCTGTGGTGATGAAACATTGTGGTGGGTACGAAGGAGGTTCATAAACACTGGTATGGACCACTTCTGGGACAGAAAAAATAAAAGCCAATGTCCAAATCAAGAAACAGGTCACTTTGCTGGCAAACATTCTCTGGGACCGAAGGCGGTGGGCTGAAGTTGCTTGAACAATAGCAAAATACCTATCAATGCTGATGGAGAGAAGCAGCAGCATGCCACTGAAGAAACTCATCTGGCAGATGAGGTGAACGGCTTTGCATGCAAAGTCCCCAAAAACCCAGTGCTTGGCTGCATTGACAGCCCAAAATGGGAGAGTCAAAAGAAAGAAGATGTCTGATAAAGCTAGATTGAATAGATAGATATCAGTCATTGTCCTGAGCTTCTTGAAATGGATGTAGGTTGCCATAACCAGACCATTGCCTGCCAGTCCCACAATGCATATCAAGGAATATGCAACAGGAAGAAAAATAGCACGGAATTTCCGGACCTCTTCTTTCTTGCAGATCTCTTCAAACTGACTGTAGTCAAGGGAGGAATCTTCAGAGATGTAATCCGCTGTTATTTGGCTCTCTTTAGTAGCATCTTCACCAAAGCTGTAGTTATTATTTGTCATAAAGTCACCTTTGCAAAACTAGAAGGGAGATACAATATGGATTATTTTTATCTCACCATATTCTTTTAGTTGTGATTTATTTTTTTTGGCACTGCAAAGGAAGTGATCTTCAGGTAAGAATGGCCTGTTCTTTGAGTGTCTTTTCTTTAGGAACCATAACCCAATATTAGTTTTCTTTCAGTTGAATTATGGTGAGTTCCCTCCAAATAATCCTAGAAAATAATGGTTTAATAAGACTACTGTTAGAAATTTTTAGTCTATACTTCCCAATATTCCCAAGAGATGGAGTAATGTTTTAATCCCATACTTGGAGAACCTGGAATAAATTCTTTTGAACTGAGTTTTATTCCTGATGACAACAGACAAGGACGCATGCATGCAGTTTCTCATTAACTATAGAAAAATGCTTTGTCACTGGCTTTGGAGATGTTTTTGTCTATCCAAAAGCTCTATGTTTCTTGGAGTTCCCCTATTCAAGAAATAATCAAAACTGACCCTGCAGAAGAACTTATGCGAACCCCTAAAGTAAAAGTGTGTGTGTGTGGGAGGGGGGAAAACTATGTGGAATAATATTATGAAATAGCATGCGTACACTTTTTCCCTTTTGGAGTAAATAGCTTTATGCAAGGCACAGAAAAATATTGAGAAGCAGGAGCAAAAGAAATTAAAAGCAGTGAATAAAAGAATCAAGCTAAACCTACTTAAACCAAACACTATTCATTATAGTACTTTTCACTCTTTTGTTCTTGCCAATCACCCATGCGGCACCAAATTGCCTTTTGTTCTTTAAGCTTCTTGTCTTCCTTTTTTTTTTGCTTGTTTTTTGTTTTTGAGCAGCTCATTTATTGTAGCTAGACAAAGTTTTCTGAATCTTTCCCTTCCTCTCAACCCATTCACTCCGCCTTCCTAGATTTACTTCTGTTCAACCCTTCTTCATTTTGGTGTATGTTTCTGGTACTTTTCTTTCTTTCTTCTTTCTTTCTTTCTTTCTTTCTTTCTTTCTTTCTTTCTTTCTTTC